TGTGTGTGTGTGTGTGTGTGTGTGTGTGTGTGTGTGTGTGTGTGTGTAGAGGCATATATATATGCCTCTGGGTATAATTCAGTTTGATACAAGTAGCAATAATAATATTAATAATATTTATTACGTCAATCAAACTTATGTAATCATAGTATTAATATACATGTTTGTTTTAAAATAGTTATTCAATATTTCAATGTTTAAGCATAGATAGTAATACTTTCCATCTAGTTATTGCTTGTATTCTATTATATAAAAATTATATATGCTAATATTCTCCCTATTTCTTATTTCTACCTCTATTCTAGCTTATAGTCAGGCCATCATTCCTAATCCTAGTGTTAATACATATGTTTATATTAAGACATAGTCCTTCATTATTTGCTTATACAATGTTTCAATACACCATTCTAGTACCAATCATCATATTATTTAAATGTATATAATAATACCATCTTTCAACCTCCAATCTTTCCATCTAACTATTATTTTATATAAAAGTCTATTCTAGTTTTTAATAAGGCTCTCGTTATATTTAAAAACAAACAAAGATTTCCTTTCTATCCATCATTTCTTGTTCATTCTAATACTTCAATTCTTATTCATTTTTTTTAGCTTGCCTCCCATACTCCTCTCTTGGATCTTTGTCTCTATCAACATCTGTGTCTTGGCCATTCAGTCTGAATATTTCTCCCATCTCTATCCTCCTAAGCTGCCAGATCTCCAGAATGTCCACCCAACCCTCTATCTCTCTTTCAAAAGTATCTTCCATCTTATCCGATTCCATTTTAAAATCTCTTAAAGTACTTTTCCCTTGGTTTATTTCATCAGTCATTATTATCTTTATCATCTTCTCCTTCTCATTTTCTTGCTTTATTTTCTGATTTATCTGTTCTATCTTTCCCTCCATTCTTTCTGTTGTCTCCTCTCTTTCCTGGACTTTTTGATCTTCAGTCATGATCAATTGTAGGATATTTTATATTTTCCCATTTATGCCTTGCAATAGGTTCTTCATCTCTCTGTGATTCTTCATAGTATCCTTAATGCTTTAAAACATCAACAACATTTCTTTTGAAATCTCACTCATTTCCCCCAGTGGAGCATCTTGCCCTATTTTAGTAAGTCTTACTCAATAGTCTTACTCAATAGTCCAAAAACTATATATTCAAGTCTAATGTTGCTCCTCAGAAAGTTCAATAATCATAGTTTACATCTCAGAATTATTAATCAGTTCCATCAAGTTCCAGGCAGCTTTCCTAAAATCAAAACTCACTTTACTTTACTTAAAACTCTTCTTTTTATTCTCATAATAGAGTCTCCAGTAATCATACAATAGATAGTTATAGAACAGTAAGTATCACCACAGTCCTCCAGATGAATGTTGTTTATTTTTCTTATCAAAAATTTTCCCAGGATTGTAGGGGTATGGTGTATTTTCCATTCACCAGTCGATGGCACCCTCAGCTTAGGTTTCAGCATTGTTTCAAGTCTGACAAATTGGTTAATCCAATTTTAATGCAATATCTGAAGCAAAATCAGCTATTCAAGTGATAGTTCCAGCATTTTATAATGCCTTTCCAAAACAATGCCTATCCAGTTTGAAAGTCCAATTTTTAATGTTTTAAAAAGTCTTTAGCTTTTTTCCCCTTAGTTCCTTTCTTTTGGGTCTAGGATTTTTCTCTCTATGATAAACCCGCTTTAACAAACAGTTCTAAGAGTTCCTTTTCCTGGATTTTCTTCTCCCCCCCCTTTTAAAGTTAGGTCTAAATAAAAAAGGAATCCTCTCCCCCAGCTCCAGTCACTGTTCATCTGCACCACTCCTGCACATTTCTTCATTGCCACAGCTGTCCCAGCTTCATGGCAGCCATAATGGCTGCCTCTTCTCCTCATCGTGATGAGAGGGAAGAAGCCCTGAGTTGAGTGGAAGAGTTGCTGCTCTCCAGGACCTGTAGGGTGCCCCACTTTACTTTGCCACAGCTACAGGGTGGCTTTATCTTCTTTTGGAGCCCTCCAATGGGGAGAACTCAGCATGGGAGCACAGAGACCCTCTCCTCCTGTCCGATCTTGCCACAACCTCAGCTGGAAGTCTTGGGTTGAACTTTTAATTTCTTCACTTTAACAGTTATCCACAGAGTTTGTTTAAATTCACAACAAATGTATGACCAAACTGTAATGTTTAGCAAAATTATGAAGGGTATATAAGAGAATACCATGAGATAAAAGTAAAGAGCTGACAGATATTTTGAACTGCAGTCTTTAGTCAAAAACTTAATCTTAATTTAGTGTATTTCATTTGAACAATTTTAGTTATTTTCATGAACATTAAGCATTATAGTTAGGTAAAATGTTTCAGAATTTCTATTTGAACATGAAAGAAAACTAAGAATATTAATTATCAGACACTCATACATGGAGAACATTATATATAAGTGATGATGAATTGTAGATGTTATAATATGTATACCAGGGGTGTCAAACTCAAGGCCCATGGCCCACATCTGGCCCACAATACTGTTAGATCTGGCCCATGGGGCTGCCCTGGAAACAGCGAAGGACCAGCCCGCAGCACCTGGCCTGGCTCAGGCCAGCCAGGCACTGATCTACAATTTTTCCTTTGCAGTGGTGCTTGAGGGAACCGAGGCAGGGGTCATCTACCTCCTTCCCAAAAAGGAATCCCTGCTTGCCCCTGCAACATGAGTGATGGGGAGTCCAGCACATATTGTGTCTGCCTTGTTTGGACCCCCCAAAAAAGTTAGGGTATTTATAATGCCTTGGTAAAACAACACTTAGAATATTGAATCTTGTTAAGGTCATCATGATATAAAAAGATGTTGATCTTCCAATATTTGAGGGGTTGCTCCAAAGAAGAAGAGGGTCAACCAATTCTCTAAAGCGCCTGAAGGCAGGACAAAAGCAATGTATGGCAACTAATCAAGGAGAGAATCAACCTAGAACAAAGGAGAAATTTCCTGACAGTTGGAAGGAAGGAAGGAAGGAAGGAAGGAAGGAAGGAAGGAAGGAAGGA